TTATTATTATTATTATTATTTTTTTTTTTTAAAGAGTCCTATTCTAATTGTAGGCAGCCAGATTTTTAGTATCACTCATACCTCTTGTGAATTCTATTGGATGTATTCAAACCACAAATTTATGGAAGTACAATTTGGAAATGTAAATAAGTAGATTAAATGCTCGTTAGACGCACAAGCAGCCATATTATTAAATTTTGTTCTGAACTCTCTGTTGCACGGAAATAGCACATATTTTCATATGAATGGATTTTTAACCTCTCTTTCAGATATTCTTGCTTTGGCCTTTGTAATAAATGTAATTGGTTTCCTGCGTTTCTCAAAACAAGAGAAGAAAATTGTGGTATGGTTCTTAAAAATTGAAAGTTTGCTATCCAATGATGGAAAATATGAGGTGTCATCTTGTGTGTATAAGTATGTCAAATGGCTGATATTCACCAATCATTACTTTCAGCATCTTTTTATTATTTATATTTTTTTTATCAACGTAAAGACATGCAGTACTTGTATACATATTTGCACACTGCTTTGTTTGAATTTGTTATGACATGATTGTCTGTTTTGGTGCTTCTCTGATGCAGGGTGATCTTCTGAAGGTCAAAGTGAATAAACTGGCCTCTGTTAAAACCCAACTTCCATACTCCTACTATTCCCTTCCTTACTGTAAACCAGATAAAATTGTAGACAGCGCGGAGAATCTTGGGGAAGTTCTTCGGGGTGATCGTATTGAAAACTCTCCCTATATGGTCGGTATTGTTTTATTTTATTCTTCTGTTACTTGGACAGGAAACTTAATGTACCCATCATCATTCATTTAAGACAATACGTAATACACCTTTTAAATAATACAAAATAAGACTTCTCAACCATGTTTGTTATTACAGTTTAAAATGCGAGAGCCACAAATGTGTAATGTTGTGTGCCGTGTTACACCTAACGCCAAATATGCAAAGGAATTCAAAGAGAAGATAGATGATGAATACCGGGTGAACATGTGAGCCACCTTATTATGGAATCTTGTACATTCTAATATTCTTGCATTGCATGACTTACTTTGAGTTTTGATGTTCTCTTAACAGGATTTTAGATAATCTCCCGCTAGTCGAGCCTTATAAAAGAGGCGACATGGATTCAGTTGTGTATCAACATGGTTTCAGCATTGGTCTAACAGGACAGTATGCTGGAGTAAGTATGTTTATGAAGTTGCGAATTTCATAGTATTACCTTTACATTGAGAAGTCCAGTCTTGACTCCTTTTGTCCTCCCTGAATTCGCTATTTATAGAAAAAGGAGCAGAAGTATTTTATCAACAATCACTTGACGTTTACAGTGAAGTTTCATAAGGATGAACAGACTGATGCTGCAAGAATTGTGGGATTTGAAGTCAAACCATTCAGGTAATGGTTCTGATGGCTTAATTTTGTGCTTCAGATAGTTCTTGCCTGTTTATTGATGTTATATTCTCATTGCACATCCAGTGTTAGGCATGAATACGAGGGTAAATGGGATGATAAAACACGTTTAACGACCTGTGACCCCCATGCGAAACGCACTGTAACCAGCTCTGACTCCCCTCAGGAGGTTGAAGATAAGAAGGAAATCATCTTCACATATGATGTTGAGTTCAAGGTAATGCTTTGTGTTCAATGTGCATAAAATAATTATGCATTCAGTTGTAATATTGATGGTGTTATACCGGCATTTCTTGCTCCTTGCTTCACATTTGCAGGAAAGCGAAATTAAGTGGGCATCTAGATGGGATACTTATCTTTATATGGCTGATGATCAAATCCATTGGTTCTCAATTGTCAACTCTTTAATGATAGTCCTTTTTCTCTCTGGAATGGTGGCCATGATCATGTTGCGGACCCTTTACCGTGACATCTCCAAGTACAACCAGCTAGAGACTCAGGAAGAAGCTCAAGAAGAAACTGGATGGAAATTGGTCCACGGTGATGTTTTCAGACCTCCAGCAAACTCAGATTTGCTTTGTGTTTATGTTGGAAATGGTGTTCAGTTCTTTGGGATGATAGTAGTTACCATGATCTTTGCTTCACTAGGGTTCCTATCCCCTTCAAACAGAGGAGGATTGATGACAGCTATGCTTCTTCTCTGGGTATTCATGGGCCTTTTTGCTGGATATGCCTCGGCTTGTTTATACAAGATGTTCAAGGGAACAGAATGGAAGAAAATTACTCTTAAAACAGCTTTCATGTTTCCAGGAATCATTTTTGCCATATTCTTTGTGTTGAATGGTCTAATCTGGGGTGAGAAATCCTCAGGGGCTGTACCATTCGGGACCATGTTTGCATTAGTGTTCTTGTGGTTTTGCATTTCAGTTCCTCTCGTTTTCGTAGGTAGTTATGTTGCATTTAAGAAGCCAGCTATAGAGGATCCAGTGAAAACCAATAAGATTCCAAGGCAAATTCCCGAGCAGGCCTGGTACATGAATCCCATCTTCTCCATCTTAATCGGAGGCATACTTCCATTTGGTGCAGTATTTATCGAGCTCTTTTTCATACTCACATCAATATGGTTGCAACAATTCTATTACATTTTCGGTTTCCTCTCCATTGTGTTCATCATCCTAATCGTCACCTGTGCTGAGATCTCGATCGTGCTTTGCTATTTCCAGCTGTGCAGTGAGGACTACCTCTGGTGGTGGAGGTCATACCTGACCGCAGGGTCCTCGGCTCTCTACCTCTTCCTTTATACAGCTTTTTACTTCTTCACAAAGCTCAATATCACAAAACCGGTGTCTGGCATCTTGTACTTCGGATACATGCTTATTGCTTCATATGCTTTCTTCGTTGTGACTGGTACTATTGGGTTTTTAGCATGTTTCTGGTTCACGAGGCTCATCTATTCGTCAGTGAAGATCGACTAAGTGAAGCAATGTGAACTAGAAGTGTCTATAGTTCCTCACGAAGTGTATAAACTCCTCAGATTGGATTTGAAATGCATGGCGTCTGCGATTTCATGGTCGACTCCTGAAACTTGTCTTTTGTAGCTCTTTAATACGGGTCCCTGAGTTTTGAGTCTTTGCTTCTGTTATAAAGTTTTCACTATATTCTTTAGAAACCTTGTTGAGATGATTCTGTAGCAATTAACGTCGTTAATTGTTCGTTACAGTTAATGACCACTAATTCCTGTAAAATAGTAATTTTCCCTCTGTTACAACTAAAACTATATGCAAGATACTGCTATTTTGTCACTAACGTTAAGGCAAAATTTCAAGATGGCAATTAAGCTTGCCATTCTTATCTCAGAGTTCATATTTCGTACCAAATCTATCACTCTTCGGTTGGTCACCATCCGTTAAATGGACCTAACGGTTGTGCCTACGAGTCTCTGTGATAATAATATTGATGTGTAATAATATTGCATTAGTTCCCTTCTCTTTACTAACCTCTTGGACATATTTTGGGGAGACATTGGTTGAGGTGGAGTGGAGGGAGTAAAGAAAAGGGAGTGGAAAAAAGCGCGACCAGTGGGAATTCTGGTAATTTCACGGTCAGAGGGCCATTTCTTCAGCTGCAGCTTCAGCCGAAGTCGCAAAGAAATGGAAGACTTGTTAAATACTAAACACAACTACATTAGCTTATAGGGATAGTAGGTGCTCCAGTTGAAACTGATGGGTAGAAGTTGTGATAATATATCACTTTTTACTCAAATAAACAAATTTTCATAAATCTTACAACATATATTTTATACAATAGAGCTATTTTCTCTCAACAACTCTTTTTTACAAATCTTACAATTTCTCTTCTACCCGATAGTTTAAACTACATGCCAATACACCTATTTATAGGAAAAAACTAAGAAGTGTTCAAGATGATCAAGTAACTCCTTAACCTCCTTTAGTAGAAAAAGTCAATCAAGGCAAGTAACCTTATTCCATATCTTTTGTTAAAAGGAGAGTTGAGAGTTTAAGATGCTCAAGTAATTTCACCTCCTTTAGAAGAAGAATTCAAAATGATTAAGTAACTTCCACTTCCTTTAGAGAAGAAGAGTTCAAGATGATTAAGCAATTCTTTAAAAGCTATCGACCAATCACAAGCTTTTCTTTAACCATGTAATATTCTTCTATCCAATAAAACACTTTTGTTTAATTAAGTAGAATTTTGACTAAGTCATATCTTCATCTTCATAGCTTCTTGATGATTTTGAACTTCTTCGTATTTCTAGAATTCCATTGGTCAAGTTTATACTACTTTCGACACGATCCATCATCAGAAATTCATAAACAATCTCTATTGAATTTAATGTATACTGTTGTATCACACTGGCTATGAAAGAAAGCTAAAATGCCTATACTACACATTTCCATTTTCCTACAAACTGATGTATATAATCTGAGTCTTCATTTTTCGTTCTGAACGCCATTCTGTGCATAGGTCTCGAAGTTGGACATAAACAATTTCATTTTTTACGTTTGCGCTGCAAAGGAAGGAAAAAAATAAAAATAAAACCTTTTGGATTTACACAGAAAACAAAGTTCCTGATCCCAAAAATTCCTATATTAGTAGGACCTGTTTTTCTTGGAGCACATATAGTATCAATAACCCTTCGGATATTTGAAATAATCCCAAGGATGGATTGGCTTTTAAAATATCAAGTTGTCATAGATTGTCATAAAAATAAAAAAAAATTTGAGTTTATTATGATATCAAAGTAAACTTTCCCTAGAAATTTTTCATCTCCAATTTGTTTAAGCCAAATCTAAATCACAGAACTTAGATCACCAGAAGAAATTCTTGTAGTGAAGGAATTTCCTGAAGTTCTTTCTGGAAGATTTACCTGGTCTACCGTCGAATTGGAAAACAAAATTTACTATAGATTTAAATAAAACTAAACACAACTACATTGGCTTATAGGGATAGTAGGTGCTCCAGTTGAAACAATCCATCATAAAAAATTCATAAACAATCTCTATTGAATTTAATGTATATTGTTGCATCACACTGGCTACCAAAGAAAGCTAAAATGCCTATACTATATATTTCAAAGCGCATTTCAAAGGGATACTCAGACGAATTTCGAAGTCTAATTTCCAGTAGAGACATAAAACCGGATCAAGATATTAGCAAATTTAAAGTTTCATTTTCAAGCAATATATCAATCATTAGAACTCAAATTGAAGAGTCGAATATCAGTTTTCCAATATGTATAAAGAAGCAACTCTGCATCAATTTCGTCCAATTTCTTCTAAACTTTTATTGTAATTTTCAGAGTATCAAATAGAACCCAATTTTCAGAGTAAAGGAGGGTAAAATTTTACGACACAGAACTTCTAAGGAGATATTATATGAAAGAGATTTTGGTAAAAACTAAATGACAGGGGGAAAGAAATATCATGCAGTTTTAGCAAAGGGTAGAAATCTTTTTTTGATTCGAAAGGTAAAGAGTAACCTTTGAACTGATAGCCAGTTAATGTCTGGACATTCAAATAAATTGTCTTTCATCGAATATCCAGATTTCCCCTCTAAAACAATTATCATGGTGAAAAAAGTTGACGAAAGTCCAAACAAGAGATACACCTCGAAAGTAATTACGTCATTTGGTAATAATACAGAAAAATAAAGAACACAAAATGATAATGCAAAACAACTATAGTAGTAGTAAACAAAATTGCTGTGACTTTGCCAAAAGATCAAGAATCAGAGGAAAGGGGTAATTCTCTACCTGTCTTCAGCGCGATAAACGCGTACGCCTGATGACTGATACTGATAGCCAAGAGAACGCAGCGTTGCAGTTAGCATTTCAATTTTCTGCATCAAACAAATAGATTTTCAGTATAATGAATGCGATGGGATGTGCTTGAGTTCTCTTGATAGATTAGATTTTACCACCTCAAATTATCACTAATTCCAACGGGGTGCCCCTCCGACTTACCAATTGTATCGATAGTCCACTCACATTCGTGATATATCCAGTGTCTAGCATTGCGAGCTTATCATCTTGGCTCCTTTCAATTGTATCAAACAAGAAGCCAATGAAATTTAAGAAAGAAATAATAGCAATAACAATTTCACCGGACAGTTCATTCTCTCACTTTGGCTTATGGATTCCATTAACGGTTATTGAGTTGATCATCTGGGTTCCTTAATACCGCCTTTTTCCTTGAGTTCCTACAGGGACATAACATCAGGGTAAAATATATAACTTCAAAATCTAAAACCCCATTTTGAAACTCAAATAACGTTTAACATACATTACAAAACAAAGTGGACTAAAAATAAAGTAAAGAAAACAAAGAAGAAAATGTGAACAAAATAATAAATAATTCACGGTTGCGCACGCTCCTGGTAAGCTCTTCTTCGGTTCCGTGACACCTTTATAACCTGCAACGAGGTTTCGCTTCAAATATCAAGCAAAAAGAAAAGATGTTTAGAAGAAAACACACATCAGAGACATAAAGTAAGTCAGATGCTTAGAAGAAAACACACATCAGAGAAATAAAGTAAGTCATAAACTTTGCTTTTCTCAGTTTTCTGTATTTAATGACTGAGAAGCGATTGGCAGATTCTTGATAGTAGCAATGACAACAGGGTGAGACAAAATGTGTTAGGGGTCAAAATCAAATTTTTAAAAAAAGGGACGAATTTTTTATTTTTTTTTACTATACGGGTTATAAACTGTTTTACTATTTTTTTATCTTAATTATTTTTAATCTAAAATTTTTTTATATATATAAAAAAAAAAATTGATCATTTTTAGGATTTTTTTTTATTACTGTTACTTTTTGCTCTCAATTAATTATTTTTTTTAAAAAAAATAATCTAATAAATTTCCTAATAAATTTTTGACGTCATTTGAAAAAGAAAATTTGATCGAGAGAAAAATGTAACAATAATAAAAAAAAATCCTAAAAATGATTGAATTTTTTTATATATAATTTTTTTCAGATATAAAAATAATCAAGATGAAAAAGTAGTATAACAATTTATAATCCCTATGAAATAATAAAAATTTTATTAAGAATTTTACGTCCAAAAAAAATAAAATTTGATGTCATACCACATAAAATTTTCTAATAAAATGATGTAAATTACATTAGAAAATTTTTCGCGCAAAAATAATAAACATTAATAAAATAATTAATTTTATTCTTTAAAAAAATGAGTTATACGTCTCTTTTTAGCATACACGTTTGACGTACGTTTAACTATTTTCGATATTCATTTAGATTATTCGATATATTTATGATATAGTTCTTGAAATAAGTTTCGAGAGGATATAAAAGATTTATGGATATGACTAGCGTATAATCGTCGAAATTTTTTTTAAAGTTAGCTTGTTATCGAAATTTTTGAAATATTAGTTTGAAACTGTCTATTTTGACGCATCATAACATTTGTTACGATTGGCTATTTCGTACAACATTAATGATGTGAAAATACTAGATTGTGAGTATTTCAAAATGATATTAAAAATGTAATATTTCAATTTTGTTTGATATTTCATATTGACTCAAGTGATTCTAGGGGACCCTTGGATCCGCCCCTGATTTATGACATTATCCCAATTAGACAAGGATAATGAGGTAATATTTTGGTTGAATACACAGGTGTCATTCTCTAAACTTCTAATGGTGGTAAAAATTCAGTCCAATTTTGCTCAGAACCCAACCAAACAGGTCCAAATCAACAGCCACGTGTAAAGAAGAAGACAATAGAACTCAGCCAGCCAGTTCCCGTCGGATTCAGTTGTATGATTTAATTAACTGCAGAGTCTGCATTTAAACCGAGTAATTAGCACAAAATATTCATACTTTTCGATGTTTTTGTGTAAAACGTCTCTACCTTTTATTTTTTGACGGATTATACCCTCACCTGTATTTTTATTTTTTTACGCAAAACGTCCTTCTGTCAACGCTCCGTTAAAATGCTCAGTTAAATCAAAAGATAATTATCACAAAAGATCCCTACCTTTCAATGATATTGTGCAAAACGTCTCTACCTTTAATTTTTAGCATTTTCACCCCACATTTCACCTTTAATTGCGCAAAAGGTCATTTTCATCCATTTTTTTTCAATAAAATGACGATTTTACCCTCCTATTGAAATAAAACAAAAGGAAAAGAAAAGAAATTAATTAATTGCAATCATAGTCCCAAATCTTTCAAAACATTACAGATAAATCCTAAATTCTCCACAACCGCCACTTTCACAACCCCACCAAGCCATCACATATAGATCCATAGAGCACCATCTTTCGGCCACAATACCTATCGGACTCCACCACCACCAGCCTCTCCTCACTCTCCCCAATATCTTCCTTCATAGTATTGGTCACCAATCTGTTCGAAACAATCACATTTACTGTGGTGGAGTCCGGTGGGCATGGTGGCCGAAAGGTGGTGTTATGTGGATTTATAGTTGGCAGTTTGATAGGTTGTGAGAGTGGTGGTGGTTGAGAATTTATGATTTCTTTGTAATTTTTTAAAAATTTAAGGACTACGGTTGTAGTTAGTAATTCATCTTTTCTTTTTGTTTTATTTGAATAGGAGAGTAAAATCGTCATTTTATTGAAAAAATGGATGAGAATGACATTTTTCGCAATGAAAGGTGAAAGGTATGGATGAAAATGCTAAGAAAGGTATGGACGTTTTGTACAATAAAGTTGAAAGGTACCCTACATTTTGTACTAATTACTTTTAATTTAACGGAGCATTTTAATGAGAATTTGACAGAAAGACGTTTTGCGCAAAAAAAAAGGTAAAGATGAGAGTGTAATCCGCCAAAAAACGAAAGGTATAAACGTTTTGTGCTAATTACCCTTTTAAACATTCATAAGTTCACCTCTAGTTATTGCTTGCTAAGCCCCTCTTTGTCACCTCTTATTTTACATTTTACGTATTATTTTTTCTACAGTACTTATTTACAACCACATTCCTCATTAAAATAATATTACCCGCAAAGAAAAAACTTTTCCATTCTTTTTTAATCGTACATTCTCCATAAATCTACTGTTTCATAATACATTTTTTCAAAATTAAAGGGGCACAAACACACCCTAGAACTTTTGTACTTCTTTTCACTTAAAGTAATTTTTCCCAAAATTATTTTCACCTAGTAGCAAAAGCGCAACAATCACTATCTAGTATTGATTTCCATATTTCTCGTTATATCATTAATGAATTTAATCAATCGATAAATTTGTATTTGTAAAATTGACATATATGCAGATTGCAGAGAAATCTAAAAAATGTAAATAATATAAAAATAGAATCACCATACATTTTGGCACCTAGCAATTTTACAATGCCCAGAAGCACATTACATAATTTGCAGACAAACTGAAAAAAACTAATAAATATTGTACATCAAAAGTCAGCAGCTTCCCCAAATAAAGAATACAAGTCTAGTTCCAAGCCTGAACAATTATATGTGTATTTTTTATGCATCAAAATATGTTAAAAACAATTATATGTGTATTTTTTACGTGGAAAAAGGGAACTATTCGCCGAATTCGATGGAGAATCACTTCAATAATAGAAACTTCAACTTCTTCCTAATATTCACCCAAGCCAAGAGAGAAAGGATTCGCCATCAGCTCTTAGGTCTTTGTTGAAGGGATTAGTTGCTAAAGCTATAGATGAGAATCCCAATGCTGCCGATCTTCTACTTTCAGTAAAGGGCTCATTAGGCCATAGAGTCACAAGTCACGGAAATCCGCCTCTGTCAAGGATCTCCTGCTTCCACCGACTTGTGCTTTCCTGACTTTTTTTGCTCTCTTCCAACCTAACTTCTAAAACCCTCCCTTTCACTCTCAGGTTTGGGACTCGTTCCTTGATGACATGGCCAGCCCCCTATTGGGTGACCGCAACCTTCGATGCCCTGTTTTTATTTCGAGGTAGGGATGCCTACGAGTCAGTCAAGTCGAAATTTAAGATTTTTGGCTCGGCTAGAGTAAAAATTGTTCTAACTTTTTTTGGCTGTGACCTTATCGAGCCGAGCTAGCTCGTATTTATTTTTTAAAACACAAGCAGCTTGTGCTGTCTCAAAAGACAGCGTGTAACTTCCATTTTTTTTTTAGGATCAGCTCATCACAAGCCATACGGATTAGCTCAAACTCAGGCCAATACCCCCCCAAATGGGGCTCAACTCAAGCCTCGAGCCAAGCCAATTTAGGCATTTTCAGGGTGGATCAATGGGCGACTAAAGCCAGTAAACCAAATTCATACCCCCGAGCATAGGACGACTATTAAAATATTTTTTTTATTTGTTCACGTGTTTATTTATTTTGCTAATATTATTTAATTATTTTTTATGTTATAATTATATCATCAACGTTTTATATTAATTTTTATATTCAACCTGTGTGTTAATTAAAAACCCAAAGATTCTTTATGCAGAGGGAAAAATAAGCGAGATAAAAAAAAAAAAAAAAAAGCTTGAGACTCACAATTTTTCAATCATATATTTCATCAACTATTATCAAAATATATAAAATTTAATTTTTATCTAAACCAAACATCAACTAAATACAAATGTACGAACAAATATCTTCTCCATGATCGTAAAATATTTGAACAAAATCGTTTGTGCTCCGTCCTGCTGCCATCTTAATTCCAGAGAATAGTGTTTTTCTTAATAGCTCATAAATCATTGAGGGTCCAAGCTGATACACAATTTATAAAGTAGAAAATGCTTACTTTTTACATTTTATAAATACAGAGTAAAGGAACCAAGAACAAAGGGGAAGAGACCAAATCAAGCATATTTAGTTACATAATGTCCTAATGAGACACATGACCATAACATTCTCGCGTAGAAGAGTCATTTAATCAACTTAGAGGTTCGAAGACAAATCAATCTGCATCGGCAGTAAAGTCGGGCTCCGGTGGCTTTTGGAGTTTCACCAATTCCCGAGCACTCTTAAGATTCCGATTTCTGTGTACTCCCCTGAGAGCATTTGCTGCAAATCTTGTTGCCAAGAACGTCGCACCAATGCTATATGAGCCTCCACCGGCGTTCGTGCTGGCCTTAGCTAACTCTTCAGCTGCTTCTTCCTTCCTATGAAGCTCCAGAAGTTTCCTTTTGCAGTGCCGCCTCCAGGCTGCTTGGATAAAGCACGCGGCCCAAGTCCTCCACTGCTGTGAATAGAACCGGAAGGTGTGTTGAACCTGTCTGCTGTGAAGTCGTCTGAACTGACCTGCAACAAATTTTAGTTCATCGGCTGTTAGGGCGAAAGCCTCAACCTCCATCAATGCCTTCACTGTTCGAGTAGAAGATGGTAGGTTGGAACCGGATTTGGGATCCAGTGCCCAAGTTAGAAGTTCTTCACCACAAAAATCTCCCTCTTTTAGCAAACTGCGGTTGAAAAAACCACTTCTCCCTCCATCCGTTGTCACACTTTCTAGACGCCCACGTATGATGAATAGCATTTCATCAACTGGATCTCCTTCTCGAACGATGTAAGTATTTTCAGTATATAGACAGGGTTTCAGTCTTTCACATATGGCATCTAGCAACCTCTCGTCCATATTCTCAAACAGCGGAACCTGCAAAATGTTGGTGGTCACATGTACACAGCTCAGAAACTACTACAGAATAAATCATGTATCTGTTATATCCATAACTTGGAATTCTTCGAAATTTCAAGGCATGCAAACATAACGAAAAATAAGTAATCAGGAATCCCCCCCTTTCCACCTGAGATCCCATTCTTAGAATCTCCACTCGAGAAAGATTTGCATAAAAAATCAATCAAAGGCATATAAGGAAGCAAACTATCAACAAGAAGATTACCCTCTTGACCAAAGCCAGACAAAGATGGCGCTTTATGTCTCTTCTAAGATCCTTTGGTAGACTCTGAACCAAACTCTCTTCATCTACTCCACGTGTTTCCAACCATTTGTATTGATCATACTTTCTAACCCTTCCCCTAAGATCTGGTGGGAGCAAGCGATGATGCATCCATTGCTCTGAGTCGCGCCTTTTGACTCTCATCTCCTCAAGTCGAATAGTAAGAGACTGGAGATATGTCTGTTGCAACAGAAGATAAAAACGCAAAAGAAATAAGCAAATTCCATAAAACTTTTGAGCAATGCACTATACAATATTCAAAATTCTAACTGTTTTGGATGCAACTACAGACTACAGAGAGGTGACATATAAAAGCCCAAAATGTTCTTATGCACTTTAGTCATGTTGCGCAATAAGTATATTAGTTATTATCCCAGTTTATATTTTTTTCAAGAGCACCATGAAACTTGAGCACTTACACGTTACTATTCATAGTTTTGTTGCTCCACGTACCAAATACCATATGGTTATGTTATAATACTAAACGGTGGATATGTGATGGATAAATTTGGAATGTCATCCAATCCACTGTTTGAAAGGAAACCTTAATACCACAATTAAAAAAAAACATCAAATGGAATGCAACAATTGTTCTTACAGTTCTCGATGACGTGTTATAGAAAACATCTCTGCTGAACATCTCAACAGCAATAGGTATCTTCACCATTCACGAAACTAGCATATTTTGAATAAATAAAAAATAAATAAATAAATAAAAGAAAAAGAAAAAAAGGCATGACCTAGTTTAACAACAAATTGCTTAACACAATTAAGCCCATGCTTAACCCTAAGGGATAGCTCAGTGGGTGGACTTTGAGTTTACTCCTCAATAGTCACCAATTTAAGTTCCCTCAAGACCACTTAGATGAGTACTGACTGTAAGCTTCAGGATCCTGTGGGATTAGTCGGGGGTGAACGTAAGCACCCACAGTTATATAAAAAAAAAAAAAAAAAAAAGCCCAAATCTCATTTTCACCATAAATTATCCCATAAAATTCATTTTTTGCATTTCCCCATTACTTTTTCCTACATTTTAACCACATTCTCCAAAAACTCACTTTCCAAAAACTCGCTTTTAAAGAAATCTCTCCCACATGCAGGGTTAATTGCTAACCGAAACCAACAAATCTGCCTGCCCAAAACTGACCACGACGATCTGAAGTTGAAACAAATTATAGGGTTCTCATGCTCCAGGTCTACCTGCACTTCAAACTCGCAAAGTACCAAAATTTAAGCACCAATACGTACTGTATCTTCTACGATAAGCCCATATTAATTATTAGTATAGAAGGCATTCAGCAATTTTAGTCCATTTTGTACAAGCACTAGATCTAACTATGGAACCAAAATAATCTCCAATTTAACTACTCTTGTTTCCTAAAAATCAATTATGAGTACTTTTGTTTCAAAATTTATTTGTCAAAAATAATAAATCGTAAAAGAGGATGATAAAATTTAGTAAAGGGAAGTAATATTTATAGCTAGAAGAGTTCTGCAGTTCCAAACCATTAGGGATCTAAATAGACAAATCCATGCCAGAAATAACTTCAGAAATCCATTCTAAAATAAATAATAAATTTGAGGATAGGAGTGGAAATTCACACACTAAAAAGTTTAAAAGAAAAAGAAGAGTCAGAGCGTTATATTTCTTTTTCAAAGTCTGTGTAATGTTGGTGGGCAGAGAAAGGAAGAAGAAATTACTGCACAAAACAATGATACAATCATCATTGTCTGCATTAACATGAATTACCTGCATGTTTCCAATCAATAGAGCAAAAAGAATGAGGCCAAAAATGGCTAATGCAATGCTGAATATAGACTCCCCTGGGAAGGTGCTGGTTTCAAGTCCCTGGCCAAGTGTACTGCAGAGAGAAGAGTAATGCTGTAACTTGTGGAATCAAGTACAAAGACAATTCTGATTATTGAATTTCAACTCATAACCAAAAAATCAGCATATTCAACTCACGTTTTTCAACAACTGTACTTGAACAGTATGTAAATATAAAGATTGATTAGCAATTTTTAAAATGGATCAAAAGGGGGAGTAGCACGATTACTTCATAAATATCATTAAATATGCATGATAATTGTACGACGAAGTGTATGAGGAATGTGCAGGCACCCTATCCTGACTATAATACGTTGCAGACACCTGTCTAGACATGAAAACAAGCTATTGAATATAGCCATGTCTATATATGAACTCAACTATACCACATAATTACGGGTAAACTGATGCACATAGAGATAATACAAGGAAAGCAAATATAGGAAGTGTGTCATAAGCGTGTCGTCGCAGTAACCCAAAAGTTCAATTAGACAACAATGCAGACACTGTAAGGTCTAAATAACTGAAGGATTAAGACATTATTGAAATACAAATGGTTCCAGGTGAGTGTAGAAGTTCGTTCACCTCAAATTTTGCAGTCCCCACCAGAGACAGTAGCAATATTTCGACAAAAAGTTTTTTGATGAAACTATGTCAGATGACAAAGCCTTCTTAAAGATTCCAAAATCAAATGGTGGATTGTTATCAATATCTACAGGGCAAGATGAATTTAGAACTGAATTGCTGATGTTACCCCAGGCCTCGTAGCCACTCATCTTCTCGTTCCCACAATACAAGAAATCAGTGTTACATGTAGCATTATGTTTACAAGCTTTTTGCCAGCATGTATCGTTTCGCTCCACTGATAATACATACCAGAAAGCCCCAACTATCTGCAAACAGACCATGTAAAAGAGTCTCAGGATTATATATATTTGTCACTCCGTCTTTAAGCATTAGGACTCATAATAAACACAATAATTGCAAAAGCAGCTTTCTGCGAGAATGAAGAGCAGATCAGCATATTTGTTAGGATTAGTGCCCTGGAAGCAAAATTAGTACCGAACATTCTCTAATTAAAAAATAAAATAAAAAAAATAGATTTACTTACTGTAGATTTTACATATTGCATTATTGCATGATCAAATATCATAAGAATCTATGGTTATTATGAATAATGCACATAAATATGTGAAAAATATAATTCATAAATTTTCGTTGCATTAGAGGTAGTTTAAAACTTATGGTGAAAGATAGGGCACTACATGATTTTGATGGATTTAACCTAAAATATAAGTTGGTCACAGTGGATAAAGATGCACAGTTCCACACTTGATCACCGATCATGAGTGGTAACTTCTAGGTGGAAATGCAATGGACAGGACAAAGGAACTTCAGTTTAGTGTGCATACCAGTAACGTAACTGAATGTCACTTGCTCACTTGATGGCAGTGAGTAATGAACTCCTGTTCATGATTTAGACTCTTTGATATATTAAAGGGTGAGGTAGTTCAATGGATACAGGACCACATGTAAGGTTCTTGCAGATTTTAATAGAAGATAAAGATCAAATTAAATTTGTGAATATTGACCGTTTATCCAAGTGAAGCCATAATATAACAGATATTTTTCATGCAACATTATTTCATATGTTTATGAAATGCATGTCACACCAATTGCTGACACACCAAAAGTGATGGTTCTTGCTGATTAGGATAAAATAACCACATAAGCCAACCCGCCTTAAAAAACTCATCCCAATGCAAGTGTCCAGTAAGACAGCCCAACATTCATAATTGACATCAACTCCAGTCTTCATGCGATACAAATTTCATGGCGTTCTTCATAATTTGTATACTGCAATCCAGGAGGGATCATGCAGGGGAAACCCAGAAGCGCAGCCCTGAACTACTTAAGGACTACTTACCATAGTTAAAAACAGGTTAAATCTTATGCCGTAAGTTGTTGTAAAAATAAAAGTACAGGCAAAAATAGATAACCAATACCCAAACAAAGCCTACCAAAAGAATAGTTGCTTACATGACTAGCCAGCATGTACAACAGCAAATAATTCACAGCACCAGCCCATGCAGTTTCAGCAAAAACACCAGTAGTCCTTTTCAGTTCCGAACTTAAGGGCAAAATTCGAATAAATCTAGGGAAATATTGAAGCAAAATGATAAAAAAAAGCGCTTGTTTTGTAGCCAGTACATCTGAGCCATTTGATCTCTGCAGAAATCTCCAGACAACAACCTGCACCAATTCATAAAGATGTACCAGTGTTAAAATAAAAACAAGAAAAACCACCTAAAAATTTCTGGATATCCCGTAGACATATTGTGTTGTGATAAACATTGCTTAACAGAAGCGCCCATGCTACAGAGCATATCGAATAAGGAACACAGAACATAATTAGAAGTGAATACAGAAGAAGAAATGCAGTCAGGTATTACAACTAGAGGCTGCAGGCCACGAGACCAAGGAACAGCAAATGGACCAACCCAAGGCACAGCCCATGAACCCCTGGCAAGCAATATCGAGACTGAACCGGGCAGCATACGGGTCAAGTCTATTCACCACTCCAAAAAAATTTAAAACTTCATAGGAATATGTAAATTTCTGACCAAGCAAAATTACCGCTGAGATTATAGCATTAGTAACCACGAAGTGGCACAAAATGAAAATTTTAAATAGCAATTCAGAGAAGACATGGATCTGTGACATAGTTTTTCTCCGCACCTGTGGTAGGGGAAGCACCGAGAGAAAATCTATGATGAAATAGCATCGTAAGTATCTTTTAGCGATTTGTGCAGAATCTATGACAAGTTCACCTCTTCCAAAAACTCGTGATGATGGGGCAATATAAGCCGTCCGGAATTGGAGAGCCATGTGAATGAGATAAAATGCATCAATAATTGTGCGCAAAGTTGTAGCTGTGATAGCTAGCTTTCGGTCCATCCCTAGGCATTTTGATGATTTATCAAAAACAGGAAGAAAGAAAAACAGTGGATCCACAGACACAGCTAGAATACATGATATGACAAAAAGTTTGTTCCAAAGTAGAAGAAATTTGTCCTGAGGGTCAAATATCTTCTTCTCAGATGCATTAAGATCTTCTGGAAACACTGCCGGAGAAACGCCAAAGCCCAGTGATCGTCCGATTGACTTGAGTCCTTCAGACCCTTTCATCATTCCTCTCTTGAACGACTTAGACTTGGTAGTTGTATGTCCAGAACGGCCTAAACCGTCAATGCTGAAGCCACATTTGTTTGTTGCAACCAAGGCTGATGGGGATGACAGTCTCGAGTCCAAGTCATCCAACCTAAACACAAAAATCAAACAGATGCAGATTACATTCCAAATAGTAGGAATAGACCCAATCTCTTATTCTTTGCCATTAAGGGGAGGGTTCCATCATGGTTCCCAATTTATTTTATAACCTAGATTATTTTATGGATTTTTCAGTTTTTTTTTCCAGCTTACGGATGAAAGGAGAAAGAGAAGACCCCATCTTTTTTAACTTTCTGAAGAACGCAAATGTAATGTTACAATGATGACAAAGAATGATAGTTATGAGTTGGATGAAAAGGGAATCAAATACGTTGATGATTCCCTTTACTTTCATTTTACTTTATTAGTATCGATGGTATAGGAGCCTTCAGGGTTGTTTCTACATCAATAGTAGATGACAATTTGCCTAAATAATTAAGAAGATAAGAAGTCGTTTGTTTGCAAGTTAGACTTTTAATTTTATTTATTTATATTTTTATGGATTTTTTTTTTAAAGATGGTTTATGATTGTCATGAGCAAATTTTTGTATTTTTAAATTCTTTTCAATCATTTTTTGGTTTTCATGACGTGTACTCAAAGCTTACACGTCGAAACTTATGCCTCACCTCAATGAGGTGAATGAATTGATATCCAATTGAAATTGTTTTAACATTGCCTCCTATGAGCATATGCAGTTTTAAGAATCACTTTCATATTAATATAGAGCCTGTTTGACAACCATTTTGATAGAAAAAAGAGTTTTGAATAGTGATTTTTAGGAGAATGTATGGTTAAAAAGTAGGGAAAAGTTTTTGGTATACGTATAGAATATTTTATTACGTGAATGTGTGGTTAAAGATGATCATATAGCAAACCTTAAAATAAATTAACAGTTGTCAAACAAGTACATAATTTCCAAAATAGAAACTTTCTTAGACATTGGAACATATTTATATAGAATCTTCTTTGTTCTTCCAGCAATCTAACCTACGGGACCCTCCTTACTTCTAGGAACCTAGCTTAGTGAAAGAAGCTAATGAAACATCACATGATGGACTTTTTTCCACCAAACATTAATGCTTTGACAATATTCCATGACAAGCAGTAAATTTTCATTTCCTAACAAGTGCAAGAACTAGGTAAAATTAGAATACCTTAAAAACTTTTCCCTCTGTCCACCAAGATATTGGGTCTTCGAGCCACTATCAAACATTTTGTAAAACCAATACAAATACAACTGCAAGGCAAGCAAAAAAGTTGAAAATAATAGAATGCCAGAAGGTGCCAAATGATAGATTACTCAGTATGCAATATACAAGCAATAAATTTATATCAACAAAACTCACAATACAGCATTTAAAACTTTACGTTTATGCTATATGTACATCACAACATTACGAACAGATGATGTGGCGAGATTTGATTGGATCAAAATCTCATTAAAGAAAGAAATAAATAAATAAATAAAACTTTCCCACTTTCTTTTTTGACACCTCATCAATTTGTAAAAATTTATGTAAATGGTGATATACAACAAGTATTTTCCAAAACTTTATTTTGTCTCACAATGAAATCAACCAGTACATTTTGGTTTTGATAAAATAGAGGAGATGAAAAAGAAAGAGAGGAAGGGGGGGGGCATCATGAGGTATGCCAAAATAGACGTTTTCCGTGTCATTCTATGATAGCCATTTATAGATCATGGTTAAATATATGAATGCAAATGAATTGTTAGCTTGTAATTTGTCTTAACTTTTAAACTTATCTTTTATTTTCACTGTCAAACTATTTTGATCTAAATTTGGGAGATCCCGTGACCAGGGTGGACAATTAGGCCAACAATAGTATAATACAATCACCTGTAATATAAATACTCCATACTCAGCTCACAAAAAATAAAAGAGTAACATTACTAAACAAAAGCTATCTTCATACTTAAAGTTGAACCACTTGATCTAAAAGTTTAAAATGTTAGAATTGGTCATGTGTATATCGTTTAAATGTTGTCTCCATATACCCCTCACACGTGCAGACATGATTCATTTTTCAGTTTCATTAAATGGGCAAAGGTAAGACTTAAACTCGTAACCTTTGCTTCTTTTAATATTATGTTGAACCATTTAATCTAAAAGCTTAAGCTATTAGAGAGTGGCTACCTGTATACCATTTAAATATCGCCTTTGACACTTATTTTCACTTACATGTGGTTAGACAATTTCCATTAGCAGAATCGTTACATTTCCTTATGGCGTTACTGCTTTCTCTACATTGGTAACACTTTTTAGGCTCAGACAGACAATATATACCACCCTGATATAAATTCTAATCCATCTGCAGGGCAATTTCCAGTTGCTCTTTAAGAAAATATCATTCATTTTCTCAAAAGTACAAGTAATTACGGTACTTTATTATCACAAAAGCTCTGCCAAGAATATCAATTTTTTTCATAGCAGAATAAACAACAGCAATCAGTAGAAAACTAGCATGATTTCCTGGAGCTGCTAGCTCTGATATACTTAACCAAGAACCTAGACACTATAGTTCTTCAGAGCCTAAAACTCTTTTCCCTTGTATAATACCATAAATTCGTGACTTCTGATTTACAGTAACAAATAAAAAACACTCACAAAGGCATTATGATCATAGAAGAAATGCTAACTTAAGAAGTCAGTAATCTGAGAATGTCATTTAAAGGTTCAATGGAATAACAAAAAATAAAAAATAAATAAAAAATAAACACAGCATATCTATATACGGACATCCCCTTTTGCTCTTAAAACCCTATCAAATGTCTTCAAAGATTTACATAACTGATTCTAAGCTCCAGAAATTGGCCACGTCTAGAGTCATGTAGTTTGAAAATGAATAAATTTTTTTTATTTTTTATTTTTGGAATTTCAGCTATACCTGCACTTTCTATACACCTAATAATAATTAAGAATTCTTAAATAAAAATTTCCTTACGAAGTTACTTTTAAGTCAACCCTCTTAATAGCTACAATTATCATTATAAAGTTGAGAACTTTGTGCATATTTCATTGTCACCTATCCTCTTTTTTTTCCCGCTTCTTCACAAATCTACAACCAGAATTACATGTGGTCGAAAAAAATTAAATCCTAAAAGAGCAAAATATGCGTGCGCTAAGAATCAGAGGTTTAGTCTGATTGTTCCGTAATTAGCAGGAAAAAAAAAGTATAACTAAAATAGAGGGAAAAAAACAAATTTTCATTATTAATTTTTGTTAAGGAAAGTACACATTGTAATTCAGATTCAGAAAAAGAAGTGAAAATAGATCGAAGGAAGAAACTTACAGCTGGAACTCTTGAGATTAAGCCATGAAGAATTCAACTTTAGAGAGAGAGAGAGAAGACTTGGTTTGAGCTGCAGACATGGAAGTCAAAATTTATCTAATGCTATTTTCTTGTTCGCACTGAGAAAATATTAGGAAGGGTGTAAGGTTATGTTTGCCAAGAGAGAAAAAACATGTTTGGCGGTGCTCAAATTATATTTAGAGTAATTAGCACAAAACGTCCCTACGTTTCGATGTTTTTGTGAAAAACGTCCCTACCTTTCGTTTTTTGACGAATTACACCCTCACCTTTACTTTTTTTTGTGCAAAACGTCCTTCTGTCAACTCCCATTTAAAATGTTCCGTTAAATCAAAAGGTAATTAGTACAAAAAGTCCCTACCTTTCAATATTATTGTAAAAAGCGTCCTTACCTTTCTTTTTTGGCATAATTAGCCCAAAAGGTCATTACCTTTCAATGTTATTGTGCAAAACGTCCCCACATTTCATTTTTTTGCATTTTCACCCCTATCTTTCACCTTTCATTGCGAAAAAGGTCCTTCTTATCTATTTTTTCAATAAAATGACTATTTTACCCTCCTATTCAAATAAAACAAAAAGAAAAATAATTAATTGTAATCATAGCCCTAAATCTTTCAAAACATTATAGATAAATTCTAAACTTTCCACTACCGCCACTTTCATAACCCCACCAAGCCACCACCTATAGATCCATATAGCACTACCTTTCGGCCACAACACCTATCGGACTCCACCACCACCGGCCTCACCTCACTCTTCCCAATATCCTCCTCCATAGTATTGGTCACCAATCTGTCCAAAACAACCACATTTACGGTGGTAGAGTCTGGTGGGAATGATGGCAGAAATGTGGTATTATGTTGATTTATAGTTGGCAGCTTGATAGGTTGTGAAAGTGGTGGTTGTTGGAAATTTATGATTTCTTTGTAATTTTTTTAAAAATTTAAGGACTATGGTTGCAGTTGGTTATTCATTTTTTCTTTTTGTTTTATTTGAATAGGAGAGTAAAATCGTCATTTTATTGAAAAAATGGATGAGAGTGACCTTTTTCGCAATGAAAGGTGAAAAGTAGGAGCGAAAATGCTAAAAAATTAAAGGTGTTGCGTGTTGTCACACCTCTCCTACCCACCTAGGCCAGTGGCCCACTCATCATGATCCACGTGGCATTCCTGCCGAGGTGGCCCATATTGCCGAGGTGGGTTATATCCGAGCTGCTTCTAACCGAGGCCCATGGCCCGATGCTTGGAAGCCTTTGGTTGTAGCTGAGGTCCTCAAATGGACGAAGCCCCGAAGTTGATGCGCGAGCCTCAACCACAAGCATCCTCCATGGTCACTTCTCCCAAGAGATCGCCTGCACGGATCTTATTCGAATGATTGATGGAATGTCTGTCATAAGCATAAAGGTCAAGTCTTGTCGCTAGCATGGAGGCCCTGCACAAGCAATAAATGCGCCGTAAGCTAGCGAGTCAAATCTCATGCCTAAGAACAGACGTTTAAACCAAGGAGATAAGGCCACGTGCCACTTCATCCAAGGGCTCCCATTCCATATGTATAACTATAAATACCCCTGTTGTATAATGTCAAAGGGCGAATGCAAGAATCAATACAAAAAACTACATTTTACTCAACTCTCTCCATTTACTTGCACTACATTTTATACACTTTTACACATATATTCAAGAGCACCGGTTGGTAATTATTGTACAATCGGATTACGAACAACCCGTTGGATCCCGAACGTTACCGTCCCGCGTCGTTGGGCTACTCCCACGCCCCTTTGAACCGCTCGTTTAGACCGTCCACGTGTCTTAGCGTGTTGGACATTCGCCCACGCAAGCGCGGGTGGGACCGGCATCTGTTGGCGCACTTTTTGGGGTCAACAGATTGGCGCCGTCTGTGGGAAACCATACCATAACCACGAGCAACCTTGTGGTAAAAGCTTACTGAAAAAACATTTGGGCAACCCCCCTTGAAAAAGGATTTGTTCTTGAAAAAGAACAGGAGGAACCCCTACCACTTGGAGAAATCTAAG